CATATTTTTTGGATAATCTTGTTTCTTGCTGCATCCTGAGCTCTTAGAAGAGACCCTGACACATAGCAGGTACTCAATAAATACCTTTTAGTACTTCCTTATGTTAAAGTCAAATGCCTTGCTTTTTAATTATTGTATACATTAGCTGGATTATATGTACATTTAGATTTGGTATGTGATATCTCTATTTTAAATTTCTTAAGATTAGGAAACATATCTCATATTTCTTTTGCCACCCCCATAAAGACAAAACAGCACTAAGCATATAGCATATAATAGTGATTTTTAAAAATTAATAATTCTTATTTTCTTTTTGATTTGAACTCAGCATTGGACATAATCAGGGGCTTTTTTAAAAAGTGTATGCTCAGTTATGTCAAGCGTTCTTAACTTGCAGTCCAAAACCAGAATATTGGGGAGGCCCATGAGGCTCTTAAAATTGCACACAAAATTTTATGGGTATTTGTGTCTTCCTCAGAAGAGTCCACAGACCTTTTCGGGTTCACCAAGGAATCTGTTCTCTAGAGTTTGAAAACCACTGAGTTATCCAGAGAGATCTAGACTGTGGGTGACTTATGCCCAGGAGTGGGGCTGGGATGAGGGTGAGGAACAAAGAAGGGGTGGGAGGAGTTTGCACTGCTTGGGACTAAGGGCAGCAACCTATCTGACTCCTCAGGACTGGCACACCTCTACTCAGAAGCCCAACAATCTCACATCAAGCTATGGTTTGGGGAGAGAAATCCGAGGTTGGGTCTGAATTCTAGTGATAGACAACATCTTTCATGCTGTGACTGAGGAATATTGGAAGATTTAGAGTGTTGCTCTCTGGGCTTTTTGCCTCCCCAGCACACTCCTTGCAGAGGGCCCAAAGGCCACTCAGGTTGTGAGCCATGCCTTGCACATAGGTCACAGCCAGGTCAGGACACCTAAGGCACAGAAGCCCTCCTGTTCATGTTCTTCCTTTGACAGTGATCCCATCCACTGCATGACACCAACAATGTCGCTGCCTTGTAGTAGCACTGTTATTTTATTATTTCAAATTTGTGTGTGCATACTAGACTCAACCAGATTTAAGATTGCTAGATGTCAAAACCCTCATCAAATATCAATCATGGTGTTACACACATAGTGGTGCTTAACAATTACTTTTCAAGTGAATAAATGACAACATATTAAATAGCTAAGTAGCAGTATTTGGCATTTCCTCCAATTTAAAGAGCCAGTGAAAGCTCTCCCTCTTAGTAGCAGATTGTGTTGAAGCCCCCATTAATATCAATGAAGATTTTTTAGTCCTAAAACTCTGTGATCATGGATTGAGAGTAAGCCAATGGATCCTGGTTGGGAACGCATACGTTTTGCATGATAGTAACTTATACTCATGGAGGCCTTGACCACTTATAAAGTGTTTGCACACATATACTAAGAAATCATGTGCTATTTTCGAATATAGAAGGGATCCTAAGGGGGTTTCCTGATCTATCTACCTCACCTTTGGGGCGACAAACAACTTAGGTTGATTTCCGGAGAAATAAGTCCCCCAGTTCCCCTATGGTTAGGATCTCATAGTTTTCTCAGTTACCGAGAGTCCTCTTACTGCTATCTAAATCCGTCTGCTTTGATTCTATCTTTAGTAGGCATTTTAGATAAAACCTGAAGAGTTAATGTTTTCCTGGCATAACCTGAAGGACTACTTTGCTGTTCTTTCCCTTCTCTTATCAAGACTGGAGAACTGCTTAGGAATACAACACTCAGGTTAATCTACTTTAAGTAAGGCACCATGTCCATGGCGGATGAAAATCTCTCACTGATGTTGCTGTTTGATCTGAATACAGAACAAAGGCGGGAAAATATCCTTCAGAGATGACAGTCAGCTTACAATGGTTCTACTGCAATGGCAAGTTTCCAATGAGCTACAGGGCTGGACTGGGAAGATTCCAAAGACTTGATTAGTCCTGAAGGTTCTAGAACCACACTGTGTCCAAGAGGAGAGTGGTATTTCTTACTTTGATAAATACTACTCATTAAACCTGGGTCAGCATCACAAATGGCAAAACGGAGAATATTCCAAAGCCAAGGCTAAAATAGCAAACATAAAGAGTGTTGTGAAATGAAAGAACCTTTTAGAACAGCATGGCACTGGTGATGGAGGGCAATAGCTCTCATGTCGTGGAAGGGAAAAAAGGAGCTGTCCAGGGAACAGAGCCAGCCCCACTCAGAGGCAGCTGGTACCAAATACCAGCAGACGGCCCATCGTCACTCTGGCTGCCGCAGTGGCTCCCTTGGATTGTCAGGGTGAGCACTGGTCAAACGTGAGAAATGTTAACAAATTGACCCAGTATCAGCCATTTCCACATTAGTTCGTGTGTGTGTGTGTGTGTGTGTGTGTGTTTTAGGTCAGAGTCTCACTCTGTTGTCCAGACTGGAGAGCAGTGATCATGTCACTGCTCCAACTCCTCAGCTCAAGCAATCCTCCTGCATCAGCCTCCTGAGTAGCTGGGACTACAGACAAGTGCCCCCACACCTGGTTAATTTTTAAAAATTTTTTGCAGAGATGATGTCTCACTATGTCGCTCACACAGATCTTGAACGCCTGAGCTCAAGCGAAACTCCGGCCTCAGTTTCCCAAAGAGCTGGGATTACAGGCATGAGCTACCACATGGGGCTGATACTCGTATTTAAGAAGCTGGCCAAGAGCATTCTTTGAGACAAGAGGCCAGAAGGATTTCTTAACAAGGACAGAAAATATGCAGAGTAAGGGGCAGGGATTGGAAAAGAGGGATGAGATTCAGTCATTAGGACACTCAATTTGGAGCAGACACCAGAAGGAAGCAGGAAGTTTGGGGATGTCTGCATTAGGGACACCCAAAGCCAGGTTTGTTGATACCAGCGTTTTTCCTAAAGTTGATTCTGTTGGGGGTTTCTCTAATTAAATTAAGAGAAACACAAGCGTGTCTGTTTGGCCCAGGCAGACTGCCTTCTGTGCTCTCATCACCCTGGACCCACTTCCTTTGGCCTTTGCCCCTTCACTCTAAGGGTTTCAGGTTACTTGATTGAAGGACAAGGGACAGAATCAACGGCAACCCCCAGCTTGTGAAGGCACAAAAATATTTAAGGATCTCTGTTGTACAGTATCTGCCTTGCTAATTAGTTCATGAATGTTATGTATGCTACCCAGTTCTTTGCTTCCCAAATCATCAAATTCCATATGGCTGTTTATTTAGCAAGGTCACAAATATTGGGCATCACCATCATAATTATTTGGAAGAAATCCAACTTTACATCAGTGTGGAAAATGGAACCCCAAAGAGGCAGGGAGCTTGTAGTCATTGTAAGAAAACTACAAGGTCAACTTACAAAGTGTTGATATGTGTGTTTGGTCCCAAACAAAAGACACAACTGCCTTTTTATTATTTTAGTAACATCTAACTCGGTCAATAGCTTCAAATCACTCCATTTTCTCAGAGTTTTGGCTTATTAGCATACAGATGAGGATTTTGGATTTTTTAAAAAGTAAGAATTCTCACTTTTTATACTGATCAAGCAAGGCGACATCCTTTTTGCTGCCTGGTGAATTATGAAATAAAACCAGCTCGGAACACAGTTTCTGAACTTACCGTAGCAAAAGGCAACAAAGAATGAATTAGCCTCATTTCAATCCTAGCTGCTACACAAGTGAGTTTGGTGGCCCTCAGGCAAACCACTTAACCTCACTGAGCACTTTTTTTTTTCATTTATAAAAATCAGGATTATAGTAGTTATCTAAAGGTTGTATGAATTAAATAAGCTCATACCCGAGGAACAAACTTTGTACAGTGTAAATTACCATTTTAAAAATCAGGAATATTCCTTACATAGGTGTCTCAGTTCAATATTAATGGGAAATTGGGAAGGTGAGGAGAATATCCGACAAGAGGATGGTGGTAGATAGGAGGGGAATTCCTGAGAGGTGGGACTTATCTAATGTAGTTTTGGATCCTGAACTCTAAATTAGATCAGAACTGGGGTCTACTAGTTAATCAATAATCAGTATCTCACTGAGGACAAGATTTCAACTAAAATTAGGGGTTTTCCCTGTGGGGGTGGGGCATGTGTTGGGAACAGTGTTAGTGGATCGAGTTGCTTTTCCAAGTTGGTAATCATGTGAGTTATAAGACAATGGAAGAGTTTTGGGGTAGAAGAAAGTGTGCACATGAACTTGAGCAGCCTTCATATACTACTTTATGAAGTATATATGTTTTCTTAACATCATTTGCTTCACAGAATCTGAAACCTCCTTATAAGTTTCTGACTAATGTGGAAATTCATTTGTAAGTATTGAGAAGCTGAGTTAGGACTTTGAATGGTTTCTGACGACTCCGTCTTCACCCACCCACTGAGATCTGTACAACCTCTTACCCGCCCTACTCCTTTGGGTCACTGCTACTGGTGTTCAGATTCCAATGGCCTGAAAGTCTTAGAATAGGTTATGTTTACTATGTAGCCCCTCAAAAACACACGAATGACTACAAAACAAAATGGAAATGTATTCCTGGAAATATGAGAGTGACAATTCCATTTGTGATGCATAGTCCTGACAAAGCGTTAGTTAAGTAGCTACTGCTGAGCTCTGAGATACTTTTTGGATGTTGGAGCAGATTTTTTTTTTTAAGTTTGCTTTATTCCATTCCTAGATCAGAATTTCATGATGTGTTATTTGAGGAAGTTGCTTCTCTTTCAGGCCTGCCCTCTGCTTGTAAGTTTTTTCAATGACTTCCTAAGTAATGTGGCAAAGACTTTTCCTGGACATCTATCTCCTGTGCTCTCAGGGGACACTCTGCAATTACAGTACTGGCCTGTGTTCATTTCGTACTCTCAATGTGCTCTTTAAATAAACAGTGATGGGGTGGAACGGATTGGATGTTGGGGATTGAGGAGTTTAGAATCATAAATATAAGTCATTCTGGAGTTTTTAGTATAGAGGCTATTGGCATTCTGTGTTCACTCTATTTGCCCTCACTCACCATTGCATGATTCAGCCATGCTGGAAAGATATCATCTAGGGCCTTGGGGTAAATGAGATCTCGATTGTAGAGATAGAGCATCCAGAATGCCAAAAATACAAACTGAAAAATAAAACACAAAAATAGCATCGTTAGGTTTGTTTTTAATCAGAGTTTTCTAAGATAACCAAGGAAACATGACTAAATGAAAACAGATACCCATTTTAAAGACATCTTATATATACATTATAGGAATGTAAAATAAAGGGGGAAAATGACTTATTGTAGAATTGCTATATCTGATCTCTCTGAGGATTCTTCAATGTGCCAGTGAGTTAGGGATCAATTATTTGTCCTTTTGGCAGGCAGAGAAAATATGAATAAACAGGATTCACAGACAATTAGTCACTTATTTTACCCCATGAATTCTTTCTCCAAACTTTTATCAGGAAGGCTGAGACTGGGCACATGGAGTGGCTTGGGTCTCACATGTTCCCTGCCCACTGTCTACATAGAGACGGCTAGGGAAAGCTGGAAGGCTGATAGTGAGGAAAGGAAGTGCCAGATTCCCAGGATAATGCACGAGCTAGTTAACTCAGAGTTGGGTCTCTTCATTGCTCAGAACTTTGGGTTGGTCTCTGTCTTCTTGTCAAAGCATCTGTCCTTCATGTTACAAAGTCAATACAGAGATGAGGAGAAAAAAACTATTAATTTTCTAATCTTCTTGTCTTCTACGATTTCATAGGCTCAATGTCTAAGCCTTAAAAAATGAACAGACTTCATTGTTAATTAAAAAAAAAAAAAGCCACGGAACAAAAAACGTAGCCTTTAGAAGATTCTGTGGGGGCGAAAGTAGAGGTATCCTGCAAAGTAAAACTGGAATGCCGGTACTTGCTCTGTTATCTGAAAACTCATTAGTGTTTGGAGAGTTTCATTTTGCATTTTAGTTTGAAGTCTGGGAACTATTGGAAGCAGGACAATGACAGGTGGAAGAAGGTAGTCATTTCTGATTATAAGCCCTGCTGGGCAGCCGGCATGCTTGATCTCAGTTTGTTTCCATCCTAGCTAATGAATGGAAATATAACCAAGTCATAGAAATGTGGACAGCATCGGCATACAAGCTTACTACCATCTCTGGCATATATCTTGTTCTTCCTGATGCTCATTCATTCAACATCATGAGTGAGGCACCTAATGTGTACCCCACACCAGGCTGTCTTTCTCTCCTTGATTATCTTTTCCATGTGCCAACTTTTTTTTTTTTGAATTGGAGTCTCACTCTGTCGCCCAGACTGGAGTGCGGT